TGTTTATCTCACTCCCTTTTCACTGCCAGTTTTGGGACACAAACCTCTGAGTTAATGGGAGATCCTAAAGGACAAAGAGCACCAGAGCAGCTGAAGTCAGCAGATGCTGTAGCAAAGGAGTTCCCAGGATGGGAAGGACTATCTAGAATGACAGTCTGATGGGAAAACATTGCAGCTGGCTGGACTTCGGCAGAGAGATGGAGACAGAGCCCCTCCCCGTTGGAACCCTAGCTATGGCTATGTGAACTCTGGATTTTCCATTCTCAGGATGGATGGCGCCTCTGCTCCCAGTCCCAATGTGGGAGTCATCCCACAGAGAAATGCATGTGGGAGGCCCAGCATCCCAATGGCCATATTTAGTGTATGAGAATCCCAATGGATAAGTGACATTTCACAGCCACTTTTCCTTCTTTCTCCTCAAAGGAGATAAACTTGGAGTTTTCTTAGTCCATTTTTCCCCTTTCTCCTTCCCTAAATGTTCAGAGTCCCTTTGCAGTCTATGCTGGCCCTCTCCTGCCCAGGTCCCCCCACAGTGGAGCAGCAGCACCCAGACTGCTACAGGGAAGTCTGGTTTGCTCTCTGTGTTACACTTCCCTTTCCAACCTGGCAACAGTGGTTGGACAAAAATTACCTTCCCAGGTGCTTATCTCCTTCCCACTGCAGGCCCACAATCACTCCACTGTACAGTTTCAGATTTTTTAAATCAAGCCATTTGTAATTAAAAAAATAAAATATTTACAGCAAACACAGATGGTTACTGCCATGTGTTAGTGTTAAACTGAGCTGAATCACCCCCAGAGCAGCAGATGAAGGTAGATTTCATGGAGTCTGATAATGACTCACAAGTGTCATAATTTTTACTTTTTTTTTTGGAGCAGAACCCCACTTTCATTATCTTCTTTCTGACATTTTAAGGGTAGCAAATTAAAAAGCAAGAATAAAGAAAGCCTTATAGAGATGTATACAGATGCATAATCTGTAAAGACTATGTGAAATGTAAGACTGCACGTGAAATGAATCAGTGCCTTTGGAGGTGTGAGGCTCAGTTTAAGTTGCATAAAACCAAAAAAAGAATATTATGAAACTGCTCATTTATTTAATTTCTTTCAAAGATGACAGGCTGTGTATTTTACTGGGAGAAGCCATGACTACTTTCTGCAGTTTGACTGCTTTAGGGTCTGCCCCAGTAACCAGGAAAGTCAGCTCTGCAGATCAGGACCCTCCATCAAGAATCTTTCAGAAGAGGGACCAAACTGACAGAGGGAAACAAAAACATCTTACACAACTGCAGTATTTGCCAGAATCCATCTGGTAAAGCCCTCAGTGTGTTTCTAAAGGATCAGCCTACAAGGAGTTTCACTTTCACGTTGATGCTCTTGACTCTTGAAGTACCATATACTTTCAAATTAATTATTCATGTTTCATCACAAAGTAAGCTTTTAGCTGCTTTTTAGTCCTGTTAGCCAACAATGCCTCAGTCAAAGGAGCAGGATTGTGTTTCTTGTGGGAGATTTTATTTGCGTTGTTTCCTAAATCTCAACTTGATGACTAATCAGTTGCAACTGAGCAAACCCAGTGAAAAAAGAAGAGCCTGCAGAGGTGTCACTGAGAGTTTAATTAAGCTTCCAGATCCTTTATTACCAATAACCTTGTTGCCTAACTAAAGGAAAGACCCAGCCAGAGTCTGATTCTCCATCTGGTTTACAAAAGGGGAAATCAGACAAAAGTTTTCTTTGGAAATATAGCACATTTAGGAGATGTTAACTCACATATAAATGTAGAATTCCCAAGCCCATTATTACAGAACCACTTTTTCAGAAGAGACTCATATAGGAAAGTCAACATTGCAAAATAAATTGTTTCACAGAACTTACAAAAGAAAATTAGTTTCTCGGGAAAAATGTAAGCCAGTGTTAATTAGACTCAAAAGCATGATGACAAAGCAGAAAGATCAGGATTTTCACACCACCAGACATTTCTCAGCATTTCCATTAACTACATTATTTGGGGTCATGAGAAAACTAAAACCGGGAGAAGAAGTGCAAGCTAGCAATATTGATGGAGTGGGAGATGGTGTTTATACAATGTCTACTGAGAGCTTCTTCTAAGAATATATGACATAATTGTTTTGCATTCTTACAGTAATTAGACTGAGTAAACAATGCTAGAACAGAGGGAAGATGCTAAACATGTCTTCCCTTTGCAGTGAAAGCAAGCTACTGCTAGGTAAGATGGACAATTTGAAAGCATTACCAAAACTCCAAATTGACATTAGAATCAATCAAGGCAGTAGCTCCCCCTCCTTTTTTTATTGTTTCCAGAATCTAGGGAAGACTACAAAAGGACAGACTCCATACCCTGAAATTGAGAAAAACATGGAAAACAGTATACTGTTAAGAAGAGAAATGTCACATTCACCTCTTCAACTACCACATTTTCAGATCTGATCCAAGTTGCACTGAAGCTAATTAAAAGATTCACATTAGCTTCAGTGAGATCTGGATCAGATCTAACTGAGGCTCCTAAAGTCACCATAATGTTCTGATGCTAATTATATTTACAACAAAATCTATATAACGCTAATTTCAAATGTTGTTAAATGTCAAGGAATCATCAAATTAAAGGAAATGAGAAAAAGCAATGACAGCAACCAACTCAATTCACCCCAGAGCTGTTGCAAAAGAAGGAAGGATCATGAACTTTCCTTATTTCTACAAAACTATAGATGTTTCTGCAGAAAACAAACTAAGCAAAGTAATCTTAGAAATGGGGAAATGAATCCCACACAACTTCCCTTAGTCACCACATGCTGAAAATCCTGCTGATGCCAAAATTGTGACGCTCTGCAGAATATGACTAGAAAAAGCAGCAGTGCAGACAGATACAAAGAATGTAAGTGACACTACCAGATAAAGATACATTCAAAAGTCAGGTTAGCATGTCCAAGGTAATTAACTTGAGTATAAAAAAAACCTATAAAGACAAGGTAACTTTAGCACAGCTCAAATTCAGAGGCTTGAACAGCTGGCAATAACCTGAATTAAACCAAGTTATCTTATCTTTGCCCACAGTTTAAGTCCAATTAACCAATTCAGGTTAATGAACCACAGATGGAGATTTATGAGAAGCTAACTCTCAGCTGACATGTCCTAACATCCTACAAAAATTTTCATGGAAAAAGTCATGCCATTTCAGGACATCCACACCCATTACACTACAAGAAAGGGACTAACTCAGCAGGATCAGTTTTATCTGGAGAGCCGCAGGGTGGCTTCCTGAGATACAAAATGCAGCCACCTCTTGAGTAGAGCATGATAGAATTGCTATAATAACTGCACCTCTACTACATAAAGTAGCTGTAATATATGTTTTGTAAGCTTCATTTCACTTGCTGGCTGTTTTGGGAGTCTGTTGGGTTCCCAACATTTCAAAGTGTCAAAACTGCATTCAAACCATATAAAAGACCACAAGAAGCATCAAGAGGAAAAAAAGAGGGCTAAAGAATAAGGAAACAAGGAGGTGAGAAGACAAACTTGCATGCAGACCTGCATATATGCACATTTTTATTTCTTTGTAAAGTTAGTAGCAAAAGCATACATAACAAACCATATCAGATTTGGTGATAAATTTTTAGTTTATACCCTCACACGGCATGGGTTTCAATCTAAATGCTCAGAGGAAGAAGCTTTAGAAACTTGTTACAGTGTTGCAAGAGGTTGGTTTGTTTTGTTGGCTTTGGGCTTTTTTTAAAAACGAAAACCCTTTAGTACAGAGTACAACAAAAGCTTCAGTTTATGGGGTTGTTCCCAAACACAGCATCTCTCTCAACCTGAAAACCGTTCCATCAGCTCAAACCAGTGGCCCGTCCAGTCCTGCTGACTTTGTGTACTGAATGTACCCTGAGGAAGGCAGAAGATAACACTGCACAGTGAAAAGTCATGGAATAGTTTTCCTATAAATATCTGTTCAGTTATTAAATAGAAGCGAACATAACTGATATAGGGGAAGTCAGGGGATGCAAGGGCACAGCCAGCATTCTTCCCCAAAGAGGTTTGGCTACCACATGTCACAGCATCCCCACCTGACACAGCAGCCCTCCCCCCCTTTGAGCCCCTGCCCGTGACCCGTGTACCTCCAGCTGTAGTGATTTCCCAGTTGAGGGAAAATTCACCAACCTCAACCGTATTTTAACACAGAGTTGTGCAACAGCTTAAAATCCTTACACTGAATGCTATTTACTTTCCTGCCACAGCATCAGTGTGCTCTCAGCAGCCCAAAAGCATTCTTCGCAAGTGAACTATACTCATGCTGCCTATTAAGACTGCAAGTTACTTCTAATCTGCAATTTTACGGCAGCACAGAAGACACTTGCGTGCCTTTTGGAATAGCAAATAGTTAACTTCACACTCAGACTTCAAAGCTTACTCTGGTACACCGCACGGCTGCCGAGGTGGTCTCGGGAAGGGGGCACAGACGGCCTGACACCCACCCAGCAGCAGGGACTGGCTCTCCGTGCAGTCGTAGCCCTCTGCTCTGCTTCCCAACGAATCCACTTCACTAATCTCCGCGACGATACAAAACAGAGGGGGTGAGGAGGCTTCTCTTTAATACAAAATACAGGTAATTAAAGGAACACGGTGAAACAACCATCCCCAACTTTGCGCCTTGGGGGACATCTCTTCCCTCCCAAAGCCCTCGCCTCAATCCCACGGCCAAGAGGAATCGCACCTTCCTCCGTCAGTCTCAAGCTCCCATTTCAAGCCCAAAGGCCACCGAAAGCCTCCCTCGCTCACCGCAACCCCACGGACACGCAAGATCCCGGAAAGGAACTTTCGCCGCCGGAGCCGCCTCATGCCGCCCTCAGCCGGGGCGCGGCGCGCCCAGCTCGCCCCCTCCTCCCAAAAGGAGCCCCCCCAGCTGGCGACCTGTCGGGCAGGGGGTCGGGCACTGCGGCGGGCGGGCTGCCCCCGGGAAGAAGGCCGAGGGAAGGGGGCACTCACCGGCGCAGTGGCAGCAGGAGCCGCGCCGGGGTGGAGCGGGGTCGGCGCGGCGGCCGGCATGGTGTGGGGGCTCGGCTCGGCTTGGTTAAGCTAGGCTCGGCTTGGCTTGGCTTGGCTGGGGCCAGGAGCTGCCCGCACGCACGCTCGGTCCTCCGCGCCGCCTCCCGGCTGCGAGGGCAGTGGGAGGGAGGGGACCCGGCGGGGAGGCGGCGCCGCGCACCGGCCACACCGGCGGTCACACCCCCGCACCCCTCCCGGCCGCCCCCCGGGGCAGCCCCGAGCCGGCCGGCACCGCCCCCGGGCCACCGCCGCCACAGCCTCAGGCGGCCGCCCGCCCCCACAGCCGCTCCCCTCCCGCCTTTCCCCGGGCCCCGCTTCTGTCAACGCCCAGCTCGGCCCCAGCCAGCGAGGCGTCCCCGTTTACCCCCTCACGGCCGCCCACCCGCCCGGCACGAGGGTTTGTTGTGTGGCGGGCCGTGAGGCGCTGCTGCCAGCCCGCTCGTGAGTGAAAAAGCCTCAGTTGTCGCCCCTTGCGTGCCAAGTAGGACTTGGTAAATCGCTCGATTTGGCTTGGATTAAAAAAGACAAGCGCTCACGCGATGCGAATAAAGCGTGTGTTGGACGCGTGAACAACTGGTTGCCCAGCATCTTCGTGAACTATGAGAAGGGATTTTATTTCATCCAGGCTGCCCCATAGGATGCTGGCTGGCTACACGGCAGGCACATCTGAAAAATATGAGAATGAAGGGATGAGCCACAAAGCTGATTTAAGGGTCGTATAAATAGATGTCTGAGCACTTACCATACTACAAAAGGAGATACAACTTGATGAGGCCATATACATACTTTCATAGGGGAAAATACTAGGAGCTAAAAGGCCCTTTAATCTTGTAGTGGAAAAGAATAACAGAGTCAGTGTCTGGAAGCTGAAGTTGGACAAATTCAAATCAAAAAAGTTATCGATGGGAGAGACTAATCATTGGCACAAATTGTGGAAGGAAGCTGTGTTTTATTCTCTGAAAATCTCCTACTGAAACAAGATGTCTCTGGAAAATACACGGTGTCCCAATAATTTTACCACAGGTAAAATTCAGTGTCCAGGGATATCCAGTAGGTCAGGCTAAGTGTTCCATCATTCTGGCCTCAAGCTGTATGAACAGGACAAAGCAGAACATGCTAAACATATATCTCATACTCTGATTTCTTTAATTTACTGAAGATTTTGTCCAGCTGCCTTGTTTAATGGCTTGTCTTCTGTGATTTTACTTCTGGAGTATTTCATCATTTTTGAGGCAACTCAGTCTGACACAAACACCTTTGAAAAAAAGGATCTTGATCAATGTTTATACTGAAATGTAGTTTACTGTGCTCTTTAAGAGTAGAGTATAAAGATATAGGGATAAAGCTCAAATATCTTTTCTCACTCTTTTACATAGAGCATTTATATTTTGCTAGACTATATGGTGAATGAAACCATGTAAAATAAAAGCATAAACAAAAAATATCTTGTATACTAGTCAAAACTCAGGTTGTCAAAACCTGCGATACATTATATCAAATTTCTATCTGAAAATGTATCATAATTTCACTTTCATTTGCAATCTTCATATTTGTTTAAAATCTCAAAAACTCTCAAATTCTATATTTATTTTCTCACGTTTGCCTTACTTCTTTGTCTAGAGTTTGTTAATCCTGAAGTCATCATTATCTGTTTGCCCTGTGTATCAAAGTTATTTTCAAATAATCAGTCTTCGAGATTAGGACTGCCTGGAAGAGCATAACTAAAGGGTCGCCTTTCAGTCATTTTTACATGTGCAGTTGGCTACCTCTTCTGACACACTCAATGCCCATGTGAGATCTTGGCTTCACTAAAGTGGATGGGAGGTGTCTTCTGCTATTCCCCATCTTTCACGTGGTTCTTTAAACAATGCTACCATTAATTTCTGCAGTTGTTGAAATCATCTGCAGTTGTTGTTAAATCATCTCAATGATTTAACCCTGTCTTTAAGAAATCAGGGACTGTTCAGTTCCTGTCTCTGGAACTCCTCCATCAGGTTATTCCACACTTCTGTGTCTGACTTTTTCCATCTGTAAAATGCAATAATGACACCAGTTAAAGGGATTTGCAAAATCCTTAGAAGAGCTAAGTATCGCTCCTAATTACCTGGTATTAATCCCTGCAGTTGGTTTCCAAAATAAGACTGTAACATGACCTAAAAATCAACACTAAATCTCTCATTTCTTATTGTAGAATGAAAAACAGATGAGGAGTGAATACAGGCTTCTGAAAACACCTCATTCCTACTTGCCTCTTGAAATTTGTCACCTCTGTCAGTCAGTGAAGCTGATTTTCCTTTAATCCACTTTTTAACCAGCCAGTGATCTTAACCACACCATTCACCTACTAAACCATCTACAGCTTCCTTACCATTTCTTAATAAGCATACTCAAGAACCATGATATTTGATTCTCAGTAATAGCCTTGTAACCCCAGTGCTTAATTTCACAGACTGAAATTACAGGCCAATGACTAACTAGCAGAAAGTTGTCAAATACATGTCTCCGTGTGTTGCACACCCAGCTCATACACAGTATTGACATATGGCGATGACTGACAATAGGTATGTTGATACAGCCTTGGAAATGGATGTTCAGTCTCCTTTAGTAGGAATCCTACTATTTTTGACCTTGTCCTAAAAGCAACAATTTCCTTCTGTCTTCAAAATCATTTCTTCTCTCCCTTTTCCCCTCCCTTGACACCCAGGATTGTGCTGGCACCTATTCTGTTTCAAGGGCTGTACTTAAAGGAGGTACGTAAAACAAAATATTCTACTGATCCTCTTAGGATTTATCCTCTCTAGGTGGTCATGCTCAGAGACTGCATTTTATGTGTTTCTTGTCACATTCTTAAGAAGCTATAATTAAAGTAAAATCCACATATTTTCATGGTGGACCTATGAAGTTGTATCCCAGATATGATTATCCCTTCTGCTATCACAACACACTGTTTTGAAAATGATAAATCAGCTGTACACATTTATCATACCAAGTGAGGAAGAAGTGGCAAGAGTTATATATCTATTTATTTCCCTCCGTTTTACATAAGTTAAAAGAAATTACAATTGCTTTTTGACAAGAAAAAACCAGCTACTTTAATCAGTTTATTCACAACATCTGATAAGAGCTGTCTTCCTAATGTCCAGAAATCTAATCTAGGATATTAAATCAATCAGCATAAAAGTAGCATTTTCATAATGTGGTTTCAATAATAAAAATGTTAGTTTGTCATTTGTTTGTGAAAGTTGTTCATACACAGTGGTTTTCCAGCTTGCTAATAGTCCTTGAGGAGGCAAATAAGGCTTGAAGTCTCGGAGCCCAGTGTTATAATGTAATTCATTCTTAGTCTATAAAGAAAAGTGTGTGTATTATTTTCAGATGAATGTGAATATCCCATGTCGCTGGGATATTCCAAACACCCAGGAGCCAGTGGTTGCTTTGGGCACATTAAACTTTGTCACAACATGTGATGTAGAGTAACTTTCACTGATGCAGAGCCTGAAATGCAGACATGTGTGACAGTCACTCTGACACCAGTGCTACTGGCAGAACTAACGGGGATGATTTCATACTTGCAAAAAATATCTATACTGTAAATAAGACAGCAGTTATATGGTTCCCTTAAAAAAAGAACCAAACAAAAAAAAGAAAAAAGAAGAAAAAGCCCAATATATGTTTTTAATATAGAAATAAAGAAAAAAAACCCTGACCTTTACAGAGGACGAAAAATAAGACCGAGTCCTCTTTAAACCACATATCTATCTTATGTTCTGTGTCTTGCATATATGAAATACAAGGGGCAAAACAAGCAAGTATTTCAGATCTCTTCAATAATAAATCAAACACCATCAGTAGAATATCAAAAATTACAGGTATTATTCAAATCACAAAAAACAAATGCCAACCTATATGTGAACAACACAGGTTGTATCCTCCAGCTCAAAAATAAATTTAAAAAAAGAATCAAAGAATTTATATCCATGTTAGTCCTTAGATGTATGCTAAATGTAATGAAGAAAACAGTTCCCAATAGAAACCAAGTCCTAATACCAGAGTGGAACCAAGACATTGTATAATTTTGCCAGAACAATGATGTTATAGGCATTTACACAACAACTGCACTGAGCAAACTCACAAGATTAAAAACAAAAGATCAGAATCCAAAGCTTCCTCAGCCTCAGTCAGCGAGCCAGCAGATATTCAAAGCAAAAACCAGATTTTGGCAACTTATTCCCTAATCAAGAAAATTATAAAGAATATAATTCTCTACTTCTTTCCAGAATTAACTTTTTGTTTAAAGGGCATATTTAGAAAAGGGCATTGTAGTTTCAACAAAGTAGGTTTTGTTATCTTCCTCTAACATACTGCCTTATTTCAGTTTCTGAGTCATGAATATACTTAATCAGTGTCAAATTCAGATAATTAGAAACTGCAGTGGAAAAGGGCATTGATAATAGATGTATTATAAACGCCAATGTTTTGATGATGTGGGATAATTCTCAATGACTTGTTTTAGAAAGTGTTTATGTATTAAAGATACACTCACTGGTATCCAGTGAGTAGATATTGTGATCGCCTGACATCCTCTGACACTCCAGGTTTCTGCTTTATCTGTGCTAAACAAATAATACAGGATTATGAATTTTGCCTTCTAGCAAGATTCACAGAATGGTATGCTTATCATTAAGAGACTTCTCAAAGGAGACATTTTATATTTGATTTACATTTATTATATGTTACATTTAATAATGTCTTTTATTCAAGTGTTGCAAAGGTCATCAACATTGAGTGAAATCTCACACAACGATGCGAGGCACATAGGAACTTCATTAATAGACGACCTGATCAAAACCTAGAGCTGGAAAAAAGCAATTAAGATACATAAACTTTAGTATCTTAAATGAATATTAGAAGCAAGAAGATTGAAACACAGAGAGACTCAATGAGGGTCACATAGCAAGACACAGAAATAGAACACAGACCCAAACTGTCTGACTTTGCATGCCTCAAT